TATGTGGAAAATAATGTTTTTTTTAACCTTAAACCGCATAAACACATTTCATTACACCAAATACACAAAATAATGTTATTTTTAGCAGCATCATATGACTCCTTTAATATTTTTCTCCTTCATTTACGAAGATCATCTCCTCGCTGACTCCGCAAGAAGCCGAAGAAGGAAGAAGCTCAGCCTGCTGCTCGCCGCCGTAGAAGAGCCCCGGCAGTGGAAGAAGCAAGAAGCTTTCCCCTACGGCTATTTGCCATCTTTAAGAGCAAATTTTGTAGCAAATTTCCTGCGACACTGTTTCAAATGTCGCACCGTGAGTGTGGCTCATGCAGTGCACCCCTGCATGAGCCACAGTGAGTGCGTTACCTGCTTGGGCAGCAGCATTCCTGTATAAATACCTTACAAAATTCACCGTTATGTTTTAATTACCTTAGAATAAGCCATTTCAATCTTCATACACCGCGGCTCCCCCTCCATGGTTAAGTCGCCGTTTTGCGCCGCCATATTTCTACAGTAGCCCTAAACGGACAAACTACTCTACAGAGCGTGTTTCGTCACTGTTGTTCTTCTTCGATTCTTCCTCGTGTTCCTCATGTTTTTAGAGGCAACTTGCATCGTTGCTACGTTGTATACGCACGAAGAAGAAGAACTAGTAGTAATCATTGTGTGGTTTATTAGAAGAAGAGGTCGTTCGTAGAAGCAAGAAGAGTAAGCTGCTTCACTGCTCTTACCTTGTACTAACTAGCATGCAAAAAGCTAGGTAAAGTCAGCAAATAAAACACTAACACAATGATGAACATGTAACAATACTATTCGCAATAACATATCGGTTTACTAAATAATTAATTACATATAATTTCTTAATTTATCTTTGTAAAGAAACCTCAATGCTCGACTGGCTACTCTCTGCTGTCTCAGATGACGACATCTTTGTCCTGTGTCGGCAACCGTAGCTTCTCAGGGGGAGGGGCTAATCCGCTTATTGCAATTCGCAACATCACCGCTAGATGTCGCTAAAATCTACACACTGCACCTTTAAACCCCCCCCAACAGAAATAGTATGAAATATATTTATGCATTTAAATTATAGTAGTACCATGAAGAAATAAACTTTAAGAAATAAGCCGCTTTATTGACCGTTTTTGACACTTACAAAAAAAGGATTTACAAAAATCACATTTACATTTATTTACATTTATGCATTTGGCAGATGCTTTTATCCAAAGTGACTTAAAGTGCTCTTATAATAGGGACCCTTAATCCCCTGGTCTGGAGCAACCTGGAGTAAAGAGGAGTGGCGGCTGAAGAGATCGAACTAGCAACCTTCTGCTTACCAGTTCAGTGTTAGCCCACTACAAAAGTAATAAAGCTACAGCAAAAATTAACATGTAATTGTAAACATATGAAATTGGCAAGAAATGGAATGCTGACAACATGAATTGTAAAATGTTTTAACCTGTGTAAATGTTTTACAGGTAGTCATGCTCATGGAGAGCAGGCACTCTTTGGAGAATATTGGAGCAGACACAGCAGCAGGCAGATTGTCCCGCACATGTACTCCCGCTTATTTCATTAACTTTATTTGCATTAATTCATTGCTTGACTGAAAATTTAGATGTATTCACCTTGGCAGCATAGTGTGTATTCATGCATATCTATGGCATAGCTGAATGATGAAACAAATTACATTTTGCTTATTTTACTAAAACACAATTTTCTGTAAAAAAAATTTAAAAAAATAAAAAATTGGACGCAAGACCAGCTGTTACTTCTTGCCAAAATGGTTAATGAAAACAAGGATATAATCAAAGGAAAATTTGGAATTGGGGTAACCTTTATATAGTTAGGTCAATATATAGTTGGACACAGGCACAATTTCTGAGCTTTAATTTGAGGGTATTCTCATCAAAATTGGAGAAAAGGGAATTAGGGAATTGCAGCTCTTTAATATGCACCTCCCCCTTTTTTCAAAGGACCACAAGTAATTGGACAATTGACTCAAAAGCTGTTTCATGGACAGGTGTGGGCTATTCCTTTGCTATTTCTACATCAATTAAGCAGGTGAAAGTTCTGGAGTTGTGCCATGTGATTCAAAGTCTGCCATTTGCATTTGAAAGCTGTTGCTGTGAACCCACATCATGTGGTCAAAGGAGCTCTCCGCAAGTAAAACAGACAATTGTGAGGCTTCAAAAACAAAACAAGAAAAACAACGGACTGGTGAGCTCAGAAACATAAAAAGGCCTGGACGTCCATGGAGGACAACAGTTGTGGATGATCGGAGGATCCTCTCTATGGTAAAGAAAAACCCTTTCACAACATCCAGCCAAGTGAAAAACAGTCTTTAGCAGGTAGGCGTGTCACTGTCAAAGTCTACTATCAAGAGAAGATTTAATGAGAGCAAAAAAAAAGCAATTTTTCCAGCTAAAGTCAGATCATTGATGATTCAGTGATGTCAGCATCCAGTTCAGCTCTCTTCCAATAGTGTCTGTGCAATCAGTCAAGCGTCCCCAACTAAGCAAGCCAAAGGCAACAGTGGCAAGGAACCAAAACTCCATCTGTGACAGAAATGAAGAAAAAAATCCTTGGGAGAAACCTCAGTCGGGGTGGGGGGCAGTTCTCCTCTGGCCGGACAAAACCAGCATGGTGTGTTTTAATTCCAGGCTGCAACCTTGTCTGGTTCCCGTGGTCTTGTGCCGATGGTCGTCGAGGTGATGAGGTCTTCACAGAGGATCTGTCTCAGGGGCGCATCTAGTTGACATGGTCTCTGCTGACATTCAGGGCTGTAGAGGTCGTCTCTAGGTGCTGATCCACCATCTGGTCTGTATATGGACCGGACCTGGGTGGCTACAGTGACCATCTGATCTGGATACAGACTGGATCTGTATGGCTACGGTGACCTCGGAATAAGAATGAAAGAGAATAATATTAGCGTAGATGCCGTACTTCTTACGATGTAGCGAGTACATCTGGTGTTATGGGAAGTGTTCCCCTTTCCGGTTGACCTAGTTAATGCAGCCTAATAAAAACCCTTTCACAACATCCAGCCAAGTGAAGAACAGTCTTTAGGAGGTAGGTGTGTCACTGTCAAAGTTGACTATCAAGAGAAGACTTAACGAGAGCAAATACGGAGGATTCACCACAAGGTGAAAACAAGGCCTGATTAGACTTTTCTAAAAAAATAAATAAAAAAAAAAACATCTAAAAAAGCGAGAACACTTCTGGAAAAAACATTCTTTGGACGGATGAAATTAAGATCAACCTGTACCAGAATGACGGGAAGAAAAAAGTATGGAGAAGGCTTGGAACATCTCATGATCCAAAGCATACAACATCATCTGTGAGACATGGTGGAGGCAGTGTGATGGCATGGGCATGCATGGTTTCCAGTGGCACTGGGTTACTGGTGTTTATTGATGACGTGACAGAAGACAGAAGCAGCCAAATGAATTCTGAAGTGTATAGGGATATACTGTCTGCCCAGATTCAGCCAAATGCAGCAAAGTTGATTGGACGGTGCTTCATAGTACAAATGGACAATCAAAACATACAGCAAAAGCAACCCAGGAGTTTTTGAAGGTAAAAAAGTGGAATATTCTGCTATGGCCAAGTCAATCTACTGATCTCAACCCGACTGATCATGCATTTCACTTTTCTGAAGACAAAACTAAAGGCAGAAAGACCCACAAACAAACAACAACTGAAGTCAACTGCAGTAAAGGCCTGGCAAACATGTGCGTAGCCAGCTATGAGGTCACCGAGGGTCAGACCTCTGTATTTTTCCGAGGTGTACTTTGTGAAATAATTGGCTAATAATAGTATTAACTCTTCCTTCATGCTGCAAGGATATTGCACAGCACCAAGATCAAACTTAAACCTCCTCATCTGAGCTGCCTCTGCCGTCTGTCACGGTAACAGTCACCGCTTGTCAATGTCAAAAAATATTTGAGATGACCAATCAAATCAAAGTAGGCATTGAAATTCGTGATATGCAGCTTTTGTGAACATAAAGCCTTATGTTCACAGAAGCTGTATATCACAAATTTCAACGCGACGCTTCAGTTAGCGGCTATAAAGTGCGAGATAAGATGTAAGCAGCCAAACATTTCATATCTGACAGCTGTTTTACGATAGAAATTTTAAACGACTGACAAAAATAATCAGGAATGCAAACTAATAAACTTGTCTAATTTCGCCATGACGTGATTCATGTAATGTGATTTGTAACTGTCAATGTGAAGGGACAAGAAACAATATTAAGAAAGCCATTTCATCATATATGGGGATTTGGGACCTCGGTACTTTTCAAACCCTGGCTACGGCCCTGCTGGCAAAGCATCACAAAGGAGGAAACCCAGTCTTTGGTCATGTCCATGGGTTTTAGACTTAAGGCAGTCATTGCCTGCAAAGGATCCTCAACAAAATATTCAAAATGAACATTTTATTTATGATTATATTTATTTGTCCAATTACATTTGAGCCCCTGAAAATGGGGGGACTGTGTATAAAAATGGTTGTAATTCCTAAGCATTTTATGTTATATTTTTTGTTCAACCCCTTGAATTAAAGTTTAAAGTCTGCACTTCAATTTCATCTTGATTGTTTCATTTTAATTCTATTCTGGTGGCATACAAAGCAGGTTTATTAGCTGCATATTCGCCTAGGCTGCTTTAGGGATTGTCTGCAAATTTACCTCACAGTACAAAACTAATCGTGGTAGTGAAATCTTTGTAGGACTGTCTACTCTATAGTACAACGGCAAGAGAAAGCGAATGTCTGGCGAATGTCGAACCTAAAACTAACTTTACGGCGCTAGAATAGCAATTATAAAGAAAATGCAAAGCGTTGCGTTCTTCTGACCTCATCTGCTTGCCTGTATAGTTTGCATCATCAGTAAGGTGTATACCGAGATCTGAGGTTTTGTTTATGTCACTGTATTAGTTAATTGAGGTGTGTTAAGCATTGGGGAATCCTGGAGTGTGACCTAAGAGGGAAACCCCAGTATTACAACTCAGCGTCACACAAGTCATGATATAAAGTTAAGGAAACTAAGCAACCGAAAACAATATATGTCTTAGATGTGATGTTAATTCTGTATATCAGCGTCGGGTAAAAGATTATTATAATCTATTATAAACGGGGGAAACGATTAACAGCGAAGATGCTGAATTAAAGTAAAAACAGCTTTTCTTAATCAGCTTTTCCACATACATATACTGGCCTTGATAATCATAACTTCTATTTACCGCTTGCTCCATTTCTGCAGATCAGTTTTTGTGAATGAATGACTTGCTCTACCTGTTGCTTTGGTCTCCATCAACACCTGCTTACTAACAGCAGATGGAGATCATGCATCGGTTCCCA